TTTTTTTTTCTAGCTATAGCTGTCAGGTAAACAGGTGAACATAAAAATCCCAGCCTTTATAACGAAGTTAGGTTGTTGTTTTTTTTCATGAGGAGAGGCAGGCTTCCTTCACCCTACTGTGACTTACAGTATACTAAATAATAGGCTAGTCACCAGGGTCATTAAAAAAAAACCAATAGGTAACTCTTAAGGTGTAAATGCATAAATTATGAGTTATCTGTCAATTTACTGCATTCAATAGGAATTAAAACACTTGCAAAAGGGAAAGATGTCTAGAACTGCACTAATGCAGATAAAGGACAATTGCTTCAACAGAAGATACATTATACAGTATAACACTGTCTGCAAATTATAACTGGTTGTCTATGACAGGTTTCTTGATATGCTGTTACAGCCAAAGCACTGTCAAATCAACTGAACATAATGAATCTGTGAAAAGAATCCCCTTAAGAAAATATGCCATGTGTTTGGCTGCCACCAATGAATCGCAAAAAGAAAACCAAGCAACTGTGAAAACCTCTAATTTGTCAAGTGTCAAAATGATAATCATTTATTCCAGGAAGGGCATAACAGCAGCCCTTAATGATACATCTGCGAGACAAGCTAACAGGTCTCTGCTATCAATGGCTGAGCCAATGTGCTGCAGCATACTGAATAGAATGAGGTAATAGTCTAGGGTGACCATATGTGCCATTTTCCCAGGACGGGTCCTTGCCAGGATTTCTATATTGCCTAAAATATGATATATTATAATATAATTATTGCCTAAAATATCTAGGTTTTGGCTTTGTTTGCGTGTGCAGACCGATCGGTGTATGACATCAAAATACCATACAGACGGTTCCTTGTGCTTTCAAAATGCTCTAGAGGTATTTTGATGTCATACACCGATAGGTCTGCACACGCAAACAAAGCCAAAACCTAGATATTTTAGGCAATATAGAAATCCTGGCCAGGACGCGTCCTGGGAAAATGGCACGTATGGTCACCCTATAATAGTCCATACTTTAAAATCGCGCTTTTGGACGCAACGCATTGGGTTTGACGTAAGTGACGCTAAACGCCATTGGATCTGGCGTGTCATGTGACCGATTGCGACGCGGTGCGTTCAAAAAAGCAACCGCGAATGACACATGAACGCGATGACGAATAGTTTGATTATATTAGCAATAACGGCTTCAGAAGACTTAGGATATTGCATACCAATCATATGGACATTTTTTATGGATTAATTTTACAGATGCATATGGATTTATGCTAAAACTTTTCTAAGGAGGCTGTTGGCGCAAGTGATTCCCACTTTCGGATCTGCGGTCTGTTTCTTTAAGGTTACCTATATTTGTTGCTTTTGTACGGTTATAATAATCGTACAAAAATCAAACCGTACTTTAGAATGTAATAAATAAGCACATACCTGTTCAATCACGTAAACTCTGACAAATGTGTCTCCTAGGTATTCCTTTGAGGGTTATAACGTTAATCCAAAAGTGTGCACATTTAGGGAGATATCAATGGAATATTTTATGATTACTTATGATATTTTCATCAGTCATGTCCATCTTTACTTAATTGTGAGGAACAGTGCGGCCCAACTGTTTGTTTATTGACATGCATTATGCACAGAGGCCGCTTTTGAACTCTCATGACCAGCAAAGAAGCACTATTCCGTCATATGACTTAAGGATATCCATCCTCACATTTCCATATATGGATAGAATAATGTTTATATTCATAAAGACAGTCAGGGGAGATGTTTCACAGATGAAACAATAAATACTGCAGCATATCAGACATGAGTGAGTGCTTATTGGTTTATGTGAGTGGATTCATTTTGTCCTTTGAGAGTTTCCTCTTTCGATATTCACATGAACTTAGATAATGTTTCATAAAACTCAGTTTATGAGTTATTCTCAGATCAGAAATAGAACATTATTGAATTTGCGGCTTTTCCTTTATTGTGTTTCTATACTCTGACGAGGACAGTTTGCTATTTTTTAATACAGCAATCTTATGCAAATAAATTACCACTTTAAAATAAATTCAAGCTAATAGTCTATTTTCTAAGACTTAATGTTGATCAAATCCCTAAATTAATTTAATGCTTCTGTGGAACACAAAATTAGATGTTAGGCACCTTTTGCTGTCACTGTTTGGAGCACACAATGAAATATAAGATGTATGTACATGTTTCAATTCCAAAACCCTAACAACATTTTCAATGAGCAGATGACTTAAATTTTAGTCTGTTCCACAGAAAGCTATGACTTTAGAAGACATTGAATATAGTGCATAATTAAGTTGTGTGAACATATTTTATACTTTTATGGGGCTTCTGCATCTTTTTCTACCCCAGAAATTAAAGATATAATCCCTCAACAATCTTCACAAATTCTCCTTTTGTGTTCTGCTTAAGAAAGTAAGTCACAGGAGTTTGGAATGACATCAAACTAATTTTCATTTTTGGATGATTCCTTGAATGGAACTGAAAGTCTTTTGGTTTAAAATGGTTTATTTCCTATGTTTTTAATTCCCAGGCTTAGATTTTGCTTTGCAGTTACTCTGATGTTTCCTAAGCTATCTCTACATATTCATTTATCATATTATGCTGAATCATACTCCCTTTTACAAAAGTCTGTGAGGTATGCCTATTTATCAGATGAGGTTTATACCAGCTCTGAGTTGTTGCACTAGAGGCAAAGCAAAATAAATGTATGCAACATGCATTTTTAAATACTGCACACCTCTGACTTTTACCTCAGATAAACTTATATGCAAAACCTGGTCATTTCACTGCTTCCTTGTACTAGTCATGTATAATTCATCAATGTTTATTACCATGCTAGCCAAATTACCAAACCTGAAGCGTAAATATCATACGTCTTCTGGCAACAGACAGCGTCTTAAAAGTGCAGATGCTTTGCTTCACCGTGTCTGATTTTTCCATCTTACTGTTTGTTCCCTTAATGACACCTGTCTACAAGTGTGATGCTTCTACCGTGAGCCCCTCGCACACCTTTCATCCTGCAGATTAACTTTCAAATATGTAGGGTGAAATTACAGCACTAGTAAGCGCTTGAAGCGGCACTGTCAAATTTGAGCCACTTTAGTCATTGCTGCACTCTCAGGTTTTCATTCACTACATTTGCCCGGACTCCACACGGCCTTGACTGTGTCTAATCTATTTAAACACTCTCCCATTGGTTCTCATGCAAGGTTGGATTCATCTTTCTACTTTTTGTAAATGTGATATGAGGTGGCGTGCTATTGTACTGCCTCCTATCTTCTCATCTCTTTCTACACTTTTATCTTCCTCATCTCGTGACACTCCTCCTCCTTGGCAATTCGGTTCCTCTCAATATTCAGTTGTGTTTTCTTCAAGGTCATAGGCAGTGACAGGTTCTTTTTCTGTTCAAGCTGTAATGCAATCTTTCAGTCATCTTCTAGAGGTGTTCTCTCTCTCTCTGTGTGTTCGACAAATCACACTCATATTCCCTACCAACTAGTTTGTGATGCAAATCCTATTTAAATCTGTTACTTGCTGGCACCGCAGGCCTGAGAAACCAAGAGCGACCTGTGTCAAGTGATCACAGCAATTTGCAAAACAAGAACACATTTATGTTATGAAACGCCCTCAGATGCGCTCTGGCTTACAGTACAATACTCAGGGATAAAATTCTGTAATGCAACTGATCCCTGATAATCACATGATTAATGATACGCTTCTATCCTATGCATATTTATAGCCAGTAGCAATAGCATTGAGTTCCTTTTAAGTACACTTGAAATACATGATTAAAGAATATATATGGAATTATGAATATATGAACATGCAATGATACAAAAAGGCCACCAGGGTACAAATATGGTTATTAATAGTGCTGCTTGCTAAAGAAATGACAGACACTATTGTTTGGGGTCGGTTAGACTTTTTAAAAATGTTTTTGAAAGAAAGTTCTTACGCAAACCAAAGCTGCATTTATTTGATCAAAAATACAGTGAAACAGTAATATTGTGAAATATCATTGCAACGTAAAATAATTGTATTATTGTATTTCATATATTTTAAAATGTAATTTATTCCTATGATGGCAAAGCTGAATTTTCAGCATCACTACTCCAGCCTTCATTGTCACATGGTCCTTCGGAAATCATGCTAATATGCTGATTTGGTGTTCAAGAAACATTTCTTATTATTATCGATGTTGAAAACAGTGCTGCTTTATATTTTTTGTGGAAACTGTGATACATTTTTTAATGATTATTTGATAAAAAGAAAGCTCAAAAGAACAGCCTTTAAAAAAAAAACTTCTCTACAAAACCCCCTAATCTTTAGCACTTTTTCTCAACAATGGTGCACCAATCATAACTCATCCATAGCTCCCAGCATGCATTGCGACATTAATAAATTATACAGCTGCGTTGTCTTAGTATTTTCTTTGGCCTCAGCCCCTGCCTCGACAGGATGTCTGCTCCCATATTGAGATCCAGGAACGTGAACTGCTCTCAGCGAGAGGAGTTTGCCTAACTAAACTAAGAGACTAAGAGAGAGTTAAAGAACCTTTAAAGAACTATACATGGGCTTACAGGTTTTACGGTAGTGGTGCTATATAGCACCGCATCGACTCCAAAGAACCGCTGAAGAACCATACAGGGGCTTAACATGTTCTTTATACAGTAGTAGTGCTATATAGCACCTTAACCACTCCAAAGAACTGCTGAAGAACCTTTTTTTTTTTAGAGTGTAGGTATTAAAACAAAAGCGAACATATCTGTCACCATTTGAGCTACAGACATGATTGATATCTCAAATTGTTTGTTTTTAAAAGGTGTTTGTGGTTTGTCTTATTATGCTAATTACTAACACCAGTCATGGGCTTCTTTATTTAGAATAATCTAGTTTCATTAACATTAAAATGTAAGACCATATTTTGTGTGAGAAACTTTTCTACAAACATAAGAACACTTTTATGCAATTATATGTGAATGAGACCCACTGTGATCAATATAAAAATAATAAAACCGTGGTGTCTTGTTTTAAAGTATTTTAGATTCCAGTTATTGTTACAGTAAAATATATATATACAGTGGGTACGGAAAGTATTCAGACCCCCTTAAATTTTTCACTCTTTGTTATATTGCAGCCATTTGCTAAAATCATTTAAGTTAATTTTTTTTCCTCATTAATGTACACACAGCACCCCATATTGACAGAAAAACACAGATTTGTTGACATTTTTGCAGATTTATTAAAAAAGAAAAACTGAAATATCACATGGTCTTAAGTATTCAGACCCTTTGCTGTGACACTCATATATTTAACTCAGGTGCTGTCCATTTGTTCTGATCATCCTTGAGATGGTTCTACACCTTCATTTGAGTCCAGCTGTGTTTGATTATACTGATTGGACTTGATTAGGAAAGCCACACACCTGTCTATATAAGACCTTACAGCTCACAGTGCATGTCAGAGCAAATGAGAATCATGAGGTCAAAGGAATTGCCTGAAGAGCTCAGAGACAGAATTGTGGCAAGGCACAGATCTGGCCAAGGTTACAAAAAACTTTCTGCTGCACTTAAGGTTCCTAAGAGCACGGTGGCCTCCATAATCCTTAAATGGAAGACGTTTGGGATGACCAGAACCCTTCCTAGAGCTGGCCGTCTGGCCAAACTGAGCTATCGGGGGAGAAGAGCCTTGGTGAGAGAGGTAAAGAAGAACCCAAAGATCACTGTGGCTGAGCTCCAGAGATGCAGTCGGGAGATGGGAGAAAGTTGTAGAAAGTCAACCATCACTGCAGCCCTCCACCAGTCGGGGCTTTATGGCAGAGTGGCCCGACGGAAGCCTCTCCTCAGTGCAAGACACATGAAAGCCGGCATGGAGTTTGCTAAAAAAACACCTGAAGGACTCCAAGATGGTGAGAAATAAGATTCTCTGGTCTGATGAGACCAAGATAGAACTTTTTGGCCTTAATTCTAAGCGGTATGTGTGGAGAAAACCAGGCACCTGTCCAATACAGTCCCAACAGTGAAGCATGGTGGTGGCAGCATCATGCTGTGGGGGTGTTTTTCAGCTGCAGGGACAGGACGACTGGTTGCAATCGAGGGAAAGATGAATGCGGCCAAGTACAGGGATATCCTGGATGAAAACCTTCTCCAGAGTGCTCAGGACCTCAGACTGGAACTAAGGTTTACCTTCCAACAAGACAATGACCCTAAGCACACAGCTAAAATAACGAAGGAGTGGCTTCACAACAACTCTGTGACTGTTCTTGAATGGCTCAGCCAGAGCCCTGACTTAAACCCAGTTGAGCATCTC